GTGTGACTTGTAGAAATATTAGTTTTAGCATTTATACTTCTATATGCAATCTCTTATATAGTCATTGTAACCATATTTTATCCTATGGGTTCTGATATTCTAAAAAAATTTTTTTTTCATCTCAGATAAAAGTCTCCAGTTTTGCAAGGTTTATCAAATTTATTAAAAACGTTCAGTCAACTTTACACATTTCTCATTTCAGTGTCCTAACACACATCCTCATTTAAAATGTAAAACTGCAGAAATGAATGGGTTATATTTTGACTCACCCATGTGATTATAAAGAGGTTCACACCCAGTTATATATATGGAGAAAATGGCTTTGTACATTTGTATTCTAAAGAGGCGCTTTGTGTATGGTGCCAACTAATTCCTTAAAGTACGGGTTTATTTTAATTGCCGTAAACACGTCTGTTATTATTATTATTATTATGCAGAGATAATAAATGTACATATTTGTCTGATAGCGGAAAAAAAATGTAATCTATTTATTAAGATTTAATTACATGATTTTGATATTTCATGACGAAAAATCATGATTTTATGAAAGAAAGAAATACAGCGCATACAACATAACACCTACTGTACCCCAGAATCCCTATATGAGAGAAAAAAGCAGCAGGGAGGGATAAACAAGCTAAACGAACTATGACGGGTGGGACAATACACGCCTCCGTGTCTTTCACAAAAGACTTTTCATCATGAAAGAGCAAAATCATGTAATTTTATGTAAAGACAATGAGGCTCATATTGCAAGTTTAAAGCTGACCAATGACTGATGAAAAAGCGTGAGGGACCGGCCAAAAATAAAACCTCGCAAAATGTGGATTCATGTGACCAGTCTGCCATCCTCATCAAGTCCTCCAGACGAGCAACTGAAGCCACCATAGAAGTGGCTGACTCCCCCCGGGAAGAATGGGCGCCAAAAACAGACATGTCCACTCCAGCCTGTGACATCACACACTTCACCCAGCAAGCCAAGGTAATGGAAACTGGATAAAATGGGCGAGAGATACAGTTGCGAAGACGATATAGAATGATGCACACAAGTCCGAAGCTCATACTCGCGCAAACAAGCAACAGGACACAATGCCAGAGAAGCTGGAAAAGCTGGATACCAACCGAACAGCAGTCTTAGTACGTCTGGAGATGTTAAAGTTCACCGTGTATCGTCGTCCAGGGCACGAACATCCGAATCCCGCTTGCACGAAATGAGGCAAAAGAGGGAGACCAACATGACAATTGTTGTAAAGATAGGTTTGTGTTAGGAGACCAGGAACTGAAGAGACAACATGCAGGAGATGTCCCGAGTGGAGGAGTAACAAGGTCTAGGAGGGTGTGACAGCCGGGATCCCAGACGAAACTGGCACACCAAGGGGTGTTAGCCCACGGCACAACCGTCAAAACCTTCGTTAGCCGAAGAAATGGCCGGCCTGTACAAATTAATTGTGCAATAAGCACGGTCAGCCTCGAATTATGATAGAAGGAATATAACCATCTAGTAACACCAAGAAAATGTTGCTGAGGACCCCACAGGGAACATGGGTGCTAGTTCAATTGCCCCCTTCTTGTCAAGGGCCGACAATTCTACATACATCAACTCGCAAACTCGTAGGAAGGGTGAGATGGGGCTAGGCGGAGGGATGTGGCAAGGAGTACCGACCAACTCTATGTGGAAACCCTGAATGGTAGCCAGGATCCAAGCTTCCGAGGTGATGGTTGACCAAGCTGGGAAAAAATGATGGAGTCTGCCCCCTACACAAACCTGAGAAGAAACATGAGGTATATGTAAGCTTACCGTAATGGCGTCTGGTGCCTGAGTTCCCTCTGAAGCCTCTTGACCACCATGGTCTTCTACGTGAAGGGAAGAAGGGGGACCGGCCTCTCACCTGCTGATAGGGGGTTGCTAGGTAAAGGAACCTCATCCGAGCCAGGGGAGTTATAGTAGTTATAGTAACGACCCCTGAATCTGCCAGCCCTGGTAGAGACCCACCCCTGAAATACTCTCTTCATGGAGAATTGGCTTTATGAAGGGCGGTAAAACCCCAACAAAACATCCCAGGTCCTTAATAAAGTCCCCAAACAAGGCCCTGGGCATCCTTGCCCGCTTTGGTGAGGGCTATATTGGCCTGCTTTGGCTCGATTTTAAAGAGAATGGCTTTACGTTTATGTTCTAAAGACAGGGAAGTATTAACACTGCCCATAATGCAGATGGCCCTCGGCAAGGGGGCAGGGCCAAATGCCGTTTTGGCCAATCAGCACCTCCTCATAGAGATGCATTTATTAAATGCATCTCTATGAGGTAAATTCAGCGTCCACATGCAGAGCGTGGAGACACTGAACAGCAGTGCTGCCTACTGTGCAGCACTGAGCCAGGAAGCACCTCCAGCGACCATCTGACGTGTGGCCACTTGGAGGTGTTCCTAGGGGCAATGTAAACACTGCATTTTCTCTGATTATTATATTATACTCACTAGAACAACTACATTAAGTTGTAATTGTTCTGGTGACTATAGTGTCCCTTTTAATCAAAATATATTTTGAAGAACTCACATGTATATTTAATTTGTTGTTTGAGTCAGTATTATTTCCTGTGTCTCACTCTGTATGGCTTACAGTTTATAAACTAAAAGGCAACAGGAGGTACAGGAGAGAAGACTTGCATTTGGTTTCTCCTGAATTGCAAATAATCCAAATTAAGGCGATTAGCAACTCATCCGATATTTCAGACTCTGAAATGACATATGAACAAATCACAAAGCAAACAAAACAGACAACTGACTAACAATTTAAATTGATTCATGAGTTGGATTTTCGTTAATGGTGCAAACAAATACACAAATAAATAAATAAAAGAGGATTAATGGCAAGAGAACAGTCAGTAAATGTCTATTGACAGATCGAGAGAGAAGTGACCAAAAGAAGGAAAAGAAAGGAGGAACTGTAAAGCCTATATTTATAAATAGAGTTGAGCGAACCCAAACTGAAAAGTTCGGGTTCGTACCGAACATTAGGTTTTAGGACCGCGGACCCGAACACGGACATATCACTGTATGTTCGGGTTGGAGTTCGGAGTTCGGCGATTTAATGGCGCGTTTTGAAAGGCTGCAGTGCAGCCAATCAACAAGCGTTTAACTCGTGTGCCCTTAGAAGCCATCACAACCATGCCTACTAATGGCATGGCTGTGATTGGCCAGTGCAGCATGTGACCCAGCCCCTATATATAAGCTGGAGTCGCATAGCGACGCACGCACATGTGGTCTTATTAGTGTAGGGAGAGGATGCTGCAGCTGTGAGGGACAGCTTAGGAAAGAATTCTGCAAACTAGTACATTGGTGGGGTGCACTTCACATCTGAGAGTCAAATAGAAGCGTCAAATGCCGCGGTTACATCAGAGTTTTAAAAAGTACATTTTTTTTGGTGCGAAATAGTACATTAGTGGGGTAGTACATTAGTGGGGTGCACTTCATATCTGAGAGTCAAATAGAAGCGTCAAATACTGCTGTCACATTGCAGTTTTAAAACAAAATTTTTGGGGGTCCTCAACTGCTAAATAGTGTTTTAGTGGGGTGCACTTCATATCTGAGAGTCAAATTGAAGTGTCTAATACTGTGCTTACAGCGTAGTGGCAAACATTCTTATTTTCTGGGTGCTAATCTGCTAAATAGTACATTTGCGGCCTGCGGTGCACTTCATATCTGAGAGTCAAATAGAAGCGTCAAATAGTGCGCTTACTGCGCAGTTGTAAACATTCTAATTGTTTTGCTGCTAATCTGCTGCTTACATTGGAGTTTGAAAAAGTCACTTTTTTGGGGGGTGGGGAGGTCAAATTGAAGCGTAACTTTGATTCGAATTTACTACATCGGTCACTTGTAATATTGTTTCACACTTACAACACTTGTTACACAGATCTAAGTGATAGAAAACATTGATATTTTCTACACTAGAAACTACCAGATAACAAGCTGCTATATTTAAACCAGTGATCAATAGCTAAGAGGTACTTCAACAATATTGTAATTCTGAGGCAATACCCTCAAACTGAGAGGTCAGTTTATAGGGAAAAATGTTGGCTGGAGGAAATTCTAAAACAATAACCATATGTCCTTTGCAGACTTTACATGCTGGAAAAACACAGGTGCCAACTGCTGTGGCTTTCTGCAGTGTGCATACCGGCAAGGAGGGCAGGGTTGAGGAGTGGGTGGAAGATGATGTGGAGGATGATGAGGTCCTAGAACCCACATGGAATCAAGGTCATGCGAGTGACGTGTGCAGTTTGGAGGAAGAGGCGCTCGTCGCAGGCACCAGCACAGCATAAGATGGAGCAGGGTGCAAAAGCGGAGCGGCCGTCCCCTAGCACTCGTCGGCATGTATTAGCTTGAGAATTACCAGTTAGCCAAGTAATACATGTAGCGATCAAAGGATCCATAATAGAGTTGAGCGAACCCGAACTGCAAAGTTCGGGTTCGTATCAGATTTAACGATCCATTCGTAGTTTCACAGTGAGGTGGGCAGTCTGGTGACCAGGACCCAGACACTGTCTCAGCGGCGGTCAGATGACCGGGACCCAGTATGCCTGATGTTGAAGTTAGGAGTCACAGTGTGGAATGGATTAGCAGGGTCTGGTGCAGGGTAACCGCACACCCCTTGGTATTGAGCACCAGCGTTTGTGCGGCCACATACCAGGACCATGATGCAGCTTCAGTAAAAAGAGTACTGGATACTGGAACAGGATGTGACATTCAGTGTAGCGGCTGTGCGTGCTTTTGGCGTTCTCACCCTGCTGCTGCTCGCCTGTCTGCTCTGCAGCGTAACTTCGGCCTTCCCGCTCACTGCCTCATGAGACTGTGCGAGTAGCAGCAGGCAATAGTGGAGTTTCTGCTGCAGCACGCACGGGTCACTGGCTCTGCACCAGACTTCCCTCCAATTGATCAGAGTTAAAGGATTTCAAGTGGACTCATTACAATTACAGGGCCTCTAAAGAGTCCTATATTGTTATTTGTCGTCACTACCTTTCCGTGTCGGGAGTGGGTAATTTGCGCACCTGCTGCCTTCTTTGCATGTGGTAGCCGTTTCTCAGGGTCCCTGTACGGAATGGAACCCTGATTCCCTGTTACCCGTGGTCACCATGGTAGGCACAGAAACTGGCATCGAAAGTTGATATGGATGAACATGCAAAGTCGCCGCCATGAGGATGTGCGATTTGCCCGAGGTTCTCTAGAGTCAACAAAGTTCCTGCACAACTATAATGTCAACAGCTACTCTGCGGAACAGAGTTGTCTCTTTTTATATGTCCCAAAATTTTGGGGCTACCCCAATTAAAATATGTATGTATGTTGGCACATATATATAAAAAAACAGTGTTGGCTACCTCATCCTCCTCCTCCACCGCCACGGTCACCGCCTCCTCAACCTATGGGTCACTGAGTATAAACTAGGTACACATTAGCAAAGGCTTGTGAAGGCCCTTTCTCCATACATCAGGAGTTGAGCATTTCTCCATGCATCAGGACTGCAGGAAATGCACCGCAGGCCGCAAATGTTTCTTTTTTTTTGTATGACCCAATATTTTGTGGGCTACCACAATTTAAAAAAAACAAAAAACATAAATAACAGTGTTGGCTACCTCATCCTTCTCCTCCACCAGTGCTTCCACCTACACCGCCACGGTCACCGTCTCCTCAACCTACGGGTCACTTAGTATAAACTAGGTACACATTAGCAGAGGCTTGTGAAGGCCTTTTCTCCATGCATCAGGAGTTGAGCTCAGTTTGAACAATGAAAGAGAATACCCTGCACTCCAACCCTCTCTCAAATGGATAATTCTGTTGATCCTCCTGACAGCCATGCTTTAGATTTTGATTTATGTTCTTCCAAAGCTAAAATCAAAGATTCCATCTAGTGCTATTTTATGGCTCAGCTGTATTTTAAATTTTTATGTTATTTTAAGTGATTTCCCACATTTGTTTGCAAGGCACTTGTCCTACTCTTACTCCCATTTTACTTGCTTTTGCAGCTCTCTAGCTCTTTCCATAAATTTTTTAGAGGCATTTTTGTGCCCAAAAGTTTGGGTCCCCATTGACTTCAATGGGGTTCAGGGTCAAGTTCAAGCCCGAACCCGGACTTTTTTTTAAAGCTCGGCCAGAGCCGAACATCTAGGTGTCCGCTCAACTCTATTTATAAACAATATATAATATATAATTATAGATTTTTGTTTACTGCTCCTCTTCTTTTTCCCTCTATTGGTGACTTCTTCTTCTCACTTGATATGTGAACCAAATGGCATGAAAATTTATTTATATTTTGCAGTGCACCGATGGGCCAATTTATGCACCATTTTGGTTTGTTCAAAACATTTACTTCTAAACAATCGCATGGACGAAATTCATCCAAACTGAAACTCTATATGAACAAATATCAGACAAATTAAACTACTTTTTTTCTGTACATGTTAATTCAGACGGACCAAAGTTTTCTGCCAAACACAAGTCTACAGTGGAGGCTGATTAGCTGATAATACCTGAGGTGATACATTAAATATCTTTATTAAAGCTAAATCCCAACAGGACAATGTCGTATATTCACTCTTCTCTATGGAATTGCAAATCATCTATAACAATTGCTTGAAAATCTCATCCAATACAGATTGTGGAATTAGATTACCCAAGTATCTCTCCAACTGGGTTTGGAAAAAACAGAGTGGAATAGGTAAGGGGACAAAAGAAGAGAGTAAAGAGAAAGCCATGTAGCCAGTATTTTGACTAAAGCAGGAGTACACTCTGTCAAATGGGATGGAACCAGGAGTTGGACGGGCATACTGAAATCCACTAAGATTCCTACTTTTAGTATTTTTAAAGTTTCAAACAGAGGTAAATTGCATGATATCCTACAAAAAAACTCACATAATGGGAGAATTTCATAGCAGCAGATTGCCTATAGTTTTAAGGTTGTGGCTTCCAGACCAGTTGTCTCTGCACCAGCCCACCTCAAAATGAGGATTGTAAAGGAGAGTGGTAAAGGGAAACCGGCAGTGGGTAGTGAGTGAGAGGAATGTTTAGAAGCTTGTAGGTAATAGGCAATCTGAGTGGTTGTAAGACTAGAACTAGGTACAGGGTACCACGGTATAAGGATTTCAACAGGGAATTTTCTATCCTAATCAGCCCTATACTGTTTGTGTCAGCTGTGCCGCTCTTACTTTATAAAAAAGAAGGAGGTTCTTAACCGCCAAACATTCCAGATGGTCATGGCAGTAGAGAGTAGTCTTTATGCTATAGAAAACAAAATACATCTATGTATAATCTGCCAATATTACATATACAGGGAGTGCAGAATTATTAGGCAAATGAGTATTTTGACCACATCATCCTCTTTATGCATGTTGTCTTACTCCAAGCTGTATAGGCTCGAAAGCCTACTACCAATTAAGCATATTAGGTGATGTGCATCTCTGTAATGAGAAGGGGTGTGGTCTAATGACATCAACACCCTATATCAGGTGTGCATAATTATTAGGCAACTTCTTTTCCTTTGGCAAAATGGGTCAAAAGAAGGACTTGACAGGCTCAGAAAAGTCAAAAATAGTGAGATATCTTGCAGAGGGATGCAGCACTCTTAAAATTGCAAAGCTTCTGAAGCGTGATCATCGAACAATCAAGCGTTTCATTCAAAATAGTCAACAGGGTCGCAAGAAGCGTGTGGAAAAACCAAGGCGCAAAATAACTGCCCATGAACTGAGAAAAGTCAAGCGTGCAGCTGCCACGATGCCACTTGCCACCAGTTTGGCCATATTTCAGAGCTGCAACATCACTGGAGTGCCCAAAAGCACAAGGTGTGCAATACTCAGAGACATGGCCAAGGTAAGAAAGGCTGAAAGACGACCACCACTGAACAAGACACACAAGCTGAAACGTCAAGACTGGGCCAAGAAATATCTCAAGACTGATTTTTCTAAGGTTTTATGGACTGATGAAATGAGAGTGAGTCTTGATGGGCCAGATGGATGGGCCCGTGGCTGGATTGGTAAAGGGCAGAGAGCTCCAGTCCGACTCAGACGCCAGCAAGGTGGAGGTGGATACTGGTTTGGGCTGGTATCATCAAGATGAGCTTGTGGGGCCTTTTCGGGTTGAGGATGGAGTCAAGCTCAACTCCCAGTCCTACTGCCAGTTCCTGGAAGACACCTTCTTCAAGCAGTGGTACAGGAAGAAGTCTGCATCCTTCAAGAAAAACATGATTTTCATGCAGGACAATGCTCCATCACACGCGTCCAAGTACTCCACAGCGTGGCTGGCAAGAAAGGGTATAAAAGAAGAAAATCTAATGACATGGCCTCCTTGTTCACCTGATCTGAACCCCATTGAGAACCTGTGGTCCATCATCAAATGTGAGATTTACAAGGAGGGAAAACAGTACACCTCTCTGAACAGTGTCTGGGAGGCTGTGGTTGCTGCTGCACGCAATGTTGATGGTGAACAGATCAAAACACTGACAGAATCCATGGATGGCAGGCTTTTGAGTGTCCTTGCAAAGAAAGGTGGCTATATTGGTCACTGATTTGTTTTTGTTTTGTTTTTGAATGTCAGAAATGTATATTTGTGAATGTTGAGATGTTATATTGGTTTCACTGGTAATAATAAATAATTGAAATGGGTATATATTTGTTTTTTGTTAAGTTGCCTAATAATTATGCACAGTAATAGTCACCTGCACACACAGATATCCCCCTAACATAGCTAAAACTAAAAACAAACTAAAAACTACTTCCAAAAATATTCAGCTTTGATATTAATGAGTTTTTTGGGTTCATTGAGAACATGGTTGTTGTTCAATAATAAAATTAATCCTCAAAAATACAACTTGCCTAATAATTCTGCACTCCCTGTATATTGAGATGAGTATGGTGCGGAAAAAGAGGAGAGTCCTGCTGAAAGTGCCAACATTTAATAATATATGTAGCTTGTCCAAGTGGTCTGATTCGATTGCCAATTAGGAGGCTATCCAATTACATCTCATCCAAGAGATATTATTAGATTGCCAAAGTAGGAGGGGATTTGGGGTGGGGGGTTGAGAGGAAAGGGGAGCTGACCTGTCATCTGTCAGGCATACAACGTAGCAGATAAAATTGGGCATGTTGAAATGGTATTGTTCATGGGGAAGGAACCACTTTACAGGTGTTTATTTTGTACCCTGACATGGATACAAAGTGGCAGGTTTAGGAAGAGAAGGGTTAACTACAAGAACATTATGTTACTCTTTCTAATATAATGTCTGTGAGCGGAGATACAGACAGCTGCATTGTGGGCAAAGAACCCAGCCATGAACTTTGTGTCTGCTTTCCTATAGATAAGTTAGTTGCACGATTAACATACATTTTCAACAAGGTTAAGAAACAATTCCTGCCTCTTGTATCTAACCATGGTAAACACTTCCTTTTATTTTGAAATATTAACAAATATTAATACTGCAGATTTAACCCCTTAAGGACACATGTCGTGTGACATGTCATGATTCCCTTTTATTCCAGAAGTTTGGTCCTTAAGGGGTTAATTAGGTTCCATGGAAGAGATGTCTAATTCAGATAATGTGGAATGCTGCCGAACAGGTTATCCTGGAATTGCTGTGTAAAACAGCCAAACGCATTGCACTCTTTAAGTCGACTGTCCTCAATACACACATAGAGCTTCCATGTGTCTGAAAGATAATGATTTATTGTATCAACAAATTTCCTCAATTTTATATTATTTTTAGGAATTCTGTTGTTGGTTACTTTACATACACACACGACAAAAGCACAAACAAAAGTAGGGGACTTTAATGTTAGAACAGGAAATTTAAGATGATAATGTGAAATACTAGTGAGTATTGTGTCAGTCACCATTTTAATTATTTGGCATATCTTTTACTAGCATTTTTATTATAGAACGTTGTCTTTTACTTCTATTCAGTTGGACATAACCTGTATGAATTTAGAGGTAGATTCATTGTAAGGAGGGTTGTAGTCAGAATAGATAGAAAGGGCACGGCCAAGTTATGGTTTGTTTGTGGACAAAACACAACTCTCGAAATTATGTTACATCAGTCAATCTAAAAACCCATTGTTTAGTTTTGTAATCTTTAATTTAATAGTGTTTATCCACAGTTATTGTATTTGGTAATACAAAGAGAAGAGGAATTGTAAACTAAAAATAATTTAAAAATTATTGATGTGAGGGATAGTAAAATAAAGTCAAAATCTGTAACACTAAAAATATTTTTCATCATTTTGTTCTGTTTGGACTAAAACTTCCAGTTTCTGTGTCACTTCTCAATTTCTGGTTTAGTAAATAAACTAGGCTTGTGTCTTCAATTTCAGTAAATTGCAATTTGTCCAAACTCCAAAGTGAGACATGGACATATAATCA